TTATCAATGTCTTCGTTAGAAGCAGTTATTAATTCTTTTACTACAGAGATTTTTTTCAGATCGCATTTCCTCCACATGTTTCTGCATTTGATTCTTTACTTCAGATGCTATTAATTCAGATAATTTTTTTTTATTTCAGATGTTATTTCTGGTCTGAGTTACTCTGTACCTTTCTGCAGTTGTTTCTTTATTTCAGACACTATTGATTCAGGAATTTCAGCTGTGTGATTCCCAATTTCTTCTGTACTAGTATCTTCTGAACTTGTTCTGGGTATTCTTGGGGTCTGAGAATGCATTTTGCTCCTTCTGTTTGTCATTTTGCACAGCGCTGCCCGCTGACCTTGTTGTAGGGCTTTGGTGAAGTTATAACCTTAGCCCCTACTAATATTTGGGTGCAGATCTACAAATTTTGAATTTATCCCATTGTGCCTGGCTCGGGTCTTGCTGCTGTGTTCAGCTCCTTTCTGCTGCAGCCCGTGGGAGTGAGCCTGTTGTGCCCCTCTGGCAAGATATTCTGCTCCTGGATTAGCTGGGTGGTTCTGTCACCTACTTTCTCTTCAGGGACTGCAGCTGCAGAGTTTTACCACAGGCCTATATGCCAGGCCTGGGCTGGGTCTGATGGGGACAAAGGGATGCAGGGGAGAGGGGAAGCTCTTCCACATACTTGCAATGCCTGGACTTGGGCTGGATCTGGGGATTCCTGAGAGGGAGGCAGAAGTTCTCACTCACTTGGTGCGCTGGGGGTGGGCGGGGAGTTTCTGGAGTGCTGGAGGGATTCCCAGGGTGCTGCAGAGGGTCTCACTTACATAGTATCCCTGGGTTTGGTCCAGAGAGGTCCTGTGGACACAGGGTAACAGGAAGCTCTCCCACACACTTGCTGGGCCTGGGCTTTGGGATGGATCTTGGGGTTCCCAAGAGTGTGGCAGAAGCTTTTACTCACTGGGCAGGCCGGGGGGGGGGACTCCAGAGTGGTGGAGGTGCCCCGTGGGCACGGCAGCAGGCCTCATGCAGTGTGCCTGGGTATCATCCAGAGAGGTGCCATGGGTGCAGGATAGCTGGAAACTCTCCTTCACCTCCCTGGGCCTAGACTTGGGCTGGATCTGGGGGTTCCTGAGAGCGCAGCAGAAGTTCTCACTCAGCGGACTGGGGGGAGCAATTTAGTATTAGAAATATCTCTATTTGAAATGCAGTGAGCATGAGCATTATGTCACAAGTGATATTATCTAAAGCATAATCAAATTATATGCTGAAGATTATGAAACTATTTTATAAGATTGTATCTAGGCTAGGCTATAGGTACATATAAAATATTTTATGGTTAGTTTAGAGCCAAGTGTAGGATGTCTAGTTACATGTACATATAATTTCTTATCAAATTGTGCGACTAATGCCATATAGATTTAAATATAGTATAAATATTCAGTATTTTCAACAGTGATAACTTTGAGGAACTATTTAAAATCCAAATGATTACCTCTTTTTGATAATAAGCTGTTTTCAAGCAATCCTAAAAATTTATGTTCCAAAATATATTGTTAGGAGGCACTTTTCCAAAATGTTAATAGGAATGTCGGTGTAGTATAACACCTTTGGAAATATGTAGAGGTTCCTCAAGAAACTAAAAGTAGAAATTTCATTTTACCTAACTATAATTCTACTGGCTATATTCTCCTCAAAGTTAAAGTAATCACATTACACTCACACACATATATTCATGTGCATAACAATAAAATAAAATTAAAGGAAAATTGTAAAGTAATTTGCATTCACAAGAATGCCCTGGAAACAGCCTAGATGCCCCGTCACAGCTAAGAGGAGAGGAACAATGGAGTAGCCTGGGCAGACTGGAACATATTGGGAACGTGAGACACATTGGTACTCAACTTGGACAACTTAACGATTGATAAGACTAAGTCTCATAAGAAAAGATAAGTAAGATCTCAGTGGTAAAGTCTTGGGTTCAGTATCCAGCACTAAAAATCATGTTGTTTGTATGTTATAGAATGTTATTCAACCATAAAACTGGATGAAATTATGTCATTTGCCAAATGATGGATCAATCTGGAGCCTATTATATATTAAATAAGAGACACAGCAAGTTCAATATCATATGTTGTATTCTTTATGAGAAGTACAAGATAGAATTAAAAGGAAAATAGATACTGAGAAACGGGAATGAACTTACCCTAAAGGAAAGAGTTACTGAGTTGAGGAAAAGGACAGGAGGGAGTGGGGGAAAGAGATTTCTCTATGTATATGAGCAGGATGATTTAGACAAATGGACTGTGCATTGCTGCTAGTCTATGGAAAGGATGACATAATGCTTAATTTCATTTGTCTCCTTTTTTTCAATTGTTTGTATTTTTTTTACTTTCTTATACATTTTTGTCTTCCACTTTTGCATGAATATATCTGGTAATATGAATAACTGGTTGCAAGACAACACTGCATTACAACACTGTGAAATTCATATCCTTTTTAAAGTAAAAATTCTATATCACTTGTAATTTTGTTGTTTTAATACTGTTTTGTATTCTTAAAAAAATATATATATACATTTAAAAGGAGAAATGAAAAAAAGGCAGACATTTTGGAGGGGGTAGAGTCTCAGAGGAAGATGAAGGAAACAGTCATGGAGGAAAGGCTATGAGAAATGGCTTATATGTTGTACACATATGTGCCACTTGCTTAGAATGAAAGCAACCTTATGTATTGCAAACATATCACTTCTAAATTCCCAAATGAATACTGTTTGCATAAAATCTGCTTCCAAGCCATCATCCAGAAAGTACAATAAATTCATGATCAAATATGGTTGAGGGCATCCAATTGGATCTCCTCCTGGTAAATCATGAATATAAAGACATGTTTAAATGTGATTGACTGTTGTGTTATTTTTTTCTTTGACAGAAATGCAGAGGATTATAAATGCTGTCAATATAAATTATGGTGTCAACATGCAAAAATACTTTTTATGACTCCTGATACAAATATGCATATGAAACTGCTTGGTACAAAACCCAGTGAAAGCCTTGCATGTGGGAAGTCTCATTCATTACCACCCATGCCCATCACACATAACACTGGACTCAAATCATATGAGCTCCATGGATCTGAACAGAAGTTGTCTACCTGTAGTAGACTTGGGCAAACCACCACTGACTTGCAGTTCTTTCAGAAAAACACAAAGACAAATCCTGAAGAAAAGCCATATGAATGTAAGAAATGTGGGAAGTCCTACTCTGAATACAGTGAAGAAAATAATGCTGAAGAGAAATCCTTTATGCAGGATCAAGAGGAGAGATCCTTTAGTACGCCCAACTGTGATCAAATCCAGGAAAGAAATCATGGTAGGGTGAACATTTGTATATGTGTACAATGTGGCAAAGATTTGAACTCTTACCATGGTAATCAGAAACATGAAAGAGCAAACACTGGATCAAAATCCTGCGTATATCAGCACTGTGGGAAATCCTTAAATTATGGCACATTGTTTGGCAATCATGAAATAAGTCACATTGGGGAACAATCCTATATATGTAAGCAATGTGGGAAAACTTTCAGCAAACAGAGTCTTTGTCAAAGACATGAACAAACTCACCTTGAGGAGAAAACTTATGTTTGTAAACAGTGCAAGAAAGCCTTCAGCACACAGAGTCATTGTCAGAGACATGAACTAATTCATACTGGGGAGAAACCCTATATATGTAAGCAATGTGGGAAAGCTTTCAGCACACATAGTTCTTGTCAAAGACATGAAAGGACACACACTGGAGAGAAACCATACATATGTAAGCAATGTGGAAAAGCTTTTGGCACACGCAGTGTATACAAAATACATGAGAGGACTCACACTGGGGAGAAACCTTATGCTTGTAAACAGTGTGGGAAAGCTTTCATCAGGCACAGTGAACTGAAAATACATGAAAGAATTCACACGGGAGAGAAACCTTATGTATGTAACCAGTGTCAGAAAGGGTTCAGCACACAGAGTCGTTGTCAAAGACATGAACAAATTCACAATGTAGAGAAACCTTATGTATGTAAGCAATGTGGGAAAGCTTTCAGGACACAAAGTCACTGTAAAACTCATGAAAGGACCCACACTGGGGAGAAACCTTATGAATGTAAACAATGTGGTAAAGCTTTCAGGACACAGAGTCTTTATAAAATACATGAACGAACTCACTCTGGAGAGAAACCCTATGTATGTAAGCAATGTGGGAAAGCTTTCAGCACACACAAGAACTGTCAAAGACATGCAAAGACTCATACTGGGGAGAAACCTTATGTTTGTAATCAATGTGGGAAAGCTTTCAGCAGGCACAGTGAATGTAAAATACATGAAAGAATTCACACAGGGGAGAAACCCTATGTATGTAAGCAATGCGGGAAAGCTTTCAGCACACACAGATATTGTCAAGAACATGAAAGGACTCACTCTTGGGAGAAACCCTACATATGTAAGCAATGTGGGAAAGCTTTCAGTACACACACTTATTGTCAAAGACATGCACAAACTCACACTGGTGGTAAACCATATGTGTGTAAGCAATGTGGGAAAGCTTTCAGGACACAAAGCCTTTATAAAATACATGAACGAACTCACACTGGAGAGAAACCCTACACATGTAAGCAATGTGGGAAAGCTTTCAGGACACATAGTCATTGTAAAACTCATGAAAGGACCCATACTGGGGAGAAACAATACATATGTAGCCAATGTGGGAAAGCTTTTAGCAGGCACAGCGAATGTAAAATACATGAAAGGATTCACACTGGGGAGAAACCTTATGCATGTAAAAAATGTGGGAAAGCTTTTACCAGACATAGTCATTGTCAAAAACATGAAAGGAATCACACAGTGTAGAAACCTGTATGTGTAAGCTTTATAAAAAAGCCTTGTGTTACATTCATAATCATTGTAGGTATGAAAATATTTAAGAGAAATGATTAACTCTGAATAGATAGAGTGACTTACATGTCTGAAAGAATTTATAGGACAGAGAATCAGATCATATGTGAACAATGTGAGAAATGTTTTATTCTTCTAAGAACATTCAAGTTCATGAAAATTCACATGAGACAGAAGCCAGATATATGCAATATATATGGGAAACACTCCCATTTCTCCACTTGCATTGAAAATCATGAAAGCTTCTCCACTAAAGAGAAAGCCATTATAAATAATGTGTGAAAACATTTTATGATTCTCATCAGAAAAAAAGACACAAACTGAAATAAGATTAACTATAAATGTAGAATATGTGGAAGCTTGGAATCAGAGTGTCAAGGACAGGTATGTTAAAAATAAAACTATTTTGGGGAAAAAACATGTTTTTCAACAGTGTGGGAAAGACTTCTGCACACAGAGTTATTGTCAGAGACATGAACTAATTCATAGTGGGGAGAAACCCTATATATGTATGCAATGTGAGAAAGCTTTCAGCACACATAGTTCTTGTCAAAAACATGAAAGGACCCACACTGGAAAGACCATCTTCCTCCAATATAGGTATAATTAATACACTGCTGAGGTTAGAAATTTCCTAACGATGTCAAATTCAAAATAACAGCACCTTGCTTCAAAGTGTTAATTACATGGTCTTCATGAACATTTTATATGCAAACCGTTGCCTCAGTTTAATGGGAAAGTTAAATGTATTAATACAATTAAATGTTACTGAATTTTAAAAGAAAAGTCCTTTATTTGTGACAATGTAGATTAACCAAGAATTGACTGCATAAAATATGCCACACAGAAAATTCACTCATCATATTTGTTTTTATCATCAGTAAACAAAGCAACAGAGATTTTAGTGATGGTTGCCATGTGTGTCAGTGGGGAGATTGAGAGACATTACTGAGAAAGCACCATATTTATCTTGTTGGACACAAAGAGACATAGATCCCATAGTGAGTACAATGAGTGATACAGTGCCACATAGCATTAAATTCACTAAAAATTGTATTTAGTGTTTTCTCCATATGCCTGAAAGGTAATTCTCTTTGATGGTGCAAATGATACCAATGAAGATTGTGGTAATTTTGCAGTATAAATAGTAATAAATTGCACTGTATGCTTTTAATATATGAGTTTTGTTATTTTATGTTCAATGAAATGAATAAAACTAAATACAATAAGCAAAAACAATGACTAGTTTTATGATGTGCCCACAGAAACTGTCCTTTCTTCACTTTTTTATTTTAAAAAGAAAAAATACTAAAAATAAGTTTCAAAACAGGTTAGTAGGACAGTTAAAAAATTAGCACATTGCATATTGTCTTTGTAGTACTTAGAGCACAAGATATTAGCATGATACTGTATTTTGTTCTTAAACTGTTCAATTTTAGTTGGCCCAAAGCTTGTGGTTTGTTGTTAAACTGAAAGTATTCAGTTCTTTAAAGGCACTTTTAGTTGGTTCATTGGAAATGAATAATAGTTGACCATATAATTTGAAAAATAATGACATTTTCATGAGTTTATTTTATCCCATTTTGACAAAGTTGTTGTTTATGTCTTCAGAAAAAAATATTTTAAGAGCCAATATGCTTGTTTTTCTCATTTAGTAATTCACCTTTAATGTTGATGTTTTCAAGGTGTATATCACATTCTGTTATGTATAGACACCATATTTTCTTCATGTGTATGTAATGGACATATAGGAGGACACAGAGAGATAATTCTTTGGCAAATGGGATGGAATCAGGAGGCGAAGAATGGGAAGGGGAGGTGAAAGGATTTGATGTCTTATACCAACTGCCCACCATGAATGCTATCTCTATATGTCACAAACTTGAACTACATAATGATAATAATACTAATAATGATAATGTTGACATGCGATAAGGGGATCTAGAGCTAGTGGGGGCATGGATGAGGACCAGAAGGGAAATCATAAGAATCAAAATGTTACTCCCTAAGATAAGTGGGACTATGTACTTCATGCATGTATTAATTTAAAAGGTTAATT